GTCTACCTTTTGCCTCTGGGCTTTATCTTTCTCTATTCTATATACCTTTACTTTTTACTCACTCATGGCTTGCTGGGTGGCTGGGTAGCTGGCTCCTGATGCCCTCCTCTCCTCCTCTTCTCTGCTCCTTGATTTAGCCCTCTATTTATTCTCTCTGCCTGCAGCCTCGCCTACTTCTCTCTCCTGCTAGCTATTGGCCAGTCAGCTCTTTATTAGACCATTCAGGTGTTTTAGGCAGATAAATTAACACAGCTTTACAGAGTTAAACAAATTCGACATAAAAGAATACAACACATCTTTGCATCATTAAAACAAATATTCCACAGCATAAACGAATGTAATACATCTTCAAAGAATATTCCACAACATAGAATCATATGGGTCTTTCATTTAATGTAATTTTGAATACTTTTTCATGTTGCATATATCAGTAGACTATCCCTTTTTACAGCCAAGTAAGTGCTGTGTTTAATATTCACCAGTTGTTGGACATTTTGGTTCAATTTGTGCTTTTTAAATCAAGCCATTGTGGATATTTGACAAAGCTTTTTTCATATAAAATCCTCACCCCACCCCCTTGGAATGGAATTGTTGGATCACAGATTATCTTAAACCCAGGACCACAAAGGCAGGTGATCTACTGGAAAAATTCCTCTTTGATATATTATGGTTGCTTCCTAGTTCCTACCCCGATTTTCACTTCTTAAAACCTTTACTGGAGCCCTCCTGGCCGTTTGAAACAACAACAACAACAAAATGTAACAATTATCCAAATTATTCTATTATTAATAAAAACTTGGGAGTCAGACAGTTGGAATGAACCTGGTAGATCCAAAAATTGACAGAAAACAGCCCAACTGACCCTCTTCTGTGCTTTTCTAAGATAGAGAAAGGCCCACAAAACTCCTAAGCCCCCGCTTCCTTCCTCCCTGTGTCTCTCTCTCCCCATCTGAGTCCGCCAAAAAAACAAACAAACAAAAACTCTATAGTTTATTCTGTTCAGATGAGCATGGACTCTGTTCTCTGACTCAAGGTTCAGTTTATTGACAGCTTTTGGGGACAGCGAACAAATCTCCCTCCCTCCCTCCCTTCCTTTCTTTCGTTGTTGTTGTTTTTCCAGACAGGGTTTCTCTGGTAACAGTCCTGGCTGTCCTGGAACTCGCTTTGTAGTCCAGGCTGGCCTCAAACTCACAGAGATCCTCCTGCCTCTGCCTCCCAATTGCTGGGATTAAAGGAGTGCGCCACCACTGCCCATTTTCCTGTCTCTGCTTGTTTGTTGTGTTTTGTGGTGGTGGTGGTGGTGGTGGTGGTGTGTGTGTGTGTATGACCTACTGAGTTGAATGAGGGTTGCTTGCTTGCATGAACTGTGGGGTACTGGATCATGGGTAACCTAACAGTGACTACCCCTGAAAGCAATGACTTGACCCTGCAGCACCCATTAACTGCCAGTGGCACCTCAGGGAGGAGTGGGGACCCATGAGCCTTCCCATGCAGGGTTGAATGTCACTGGACCTCATCTTAGTTTAACTTTTTTTTTTTTCTTGAATCTATTTATTTATTACATGTGTGGAGGTCAAAAGACAACTTGCAGGAGTCTGTTCTTTTCTTCTATCATGCGGGTTCTAGGAACCCAATTCATGTCCTCAGGCGCAGCAGTGAGTGCGCTTACCCACTGCGCATCTCTGGCCAGTGGGCTCTTCCTCGTTTGTGTGTTGTGCAAACAACCACAGCTGCTGTGCATTGTGGGTGCCCTAGCCCGGTCATGTCCAGGAAACTGTGTTTTATGCTGCTTTCCTCCAGCCTCCGTCTCTTAGAATCTTGCCACCCCCTCTTCCATGCTGTCCTGGAGCCTGGGAGGGGGTGATGTAGATATCCCCCCAATTAGTCACTGATTCTTAGCACTTTGATCAGTTAGGAATCTACCTTTACTGTGTTCTGCCACAAAACAAGTGTCACTAATCAAGGCTGATACATGTTCCCTCTTGGGCACCTATACTTACATGCATATACCCACACAGACACAAACACAATTAAAGATAAATCTTTAAAAATATAAACAAACCGAATAGGAAGTATTATGATCTCATTTTACATGTGAAGAAACTGAAAACAGAGAAGTAACTATTGTTGTCTAAACTAATGACTGATAGAGCTGGGTTTGTTTTACTTTTAGTAAGCTCTCATGGAGCAGCCCTGGCTGGCCTGGAACTCACTAAGTAAATCAAGTTAGCTCAAACTCAAAGACATCTCCATGCCGCTGCCTTGAGTGCTGGGATTAGAGGAGAGGCTTAGAATATTAATTATTTCTATTCTTTTTATGTGTTTATTTAAGTTTTTTAAATTAGTTTTAATTGAGTATATGTATATGTGGGTATGTGCATGTGGGTACAGGTGCTTGCTAAGGCCAGAGGCATCAGGTCTCTGTAACCTGGAGTTCAAGGTGATTGTGATAAACCCTATTTGTGTGCTCTGAAAGATTCTATTTTTGGAAGGGTGGGACTGGAGAAAAGTAACAGACAGCACTCTTAACTGCTGAGTCAGCTCTCTAGCCTAAACAGTATTCCATAATTGATTTGGTGTGATTTTGCCCTTTTCTGTTTTGAGCTGGCAACTGAATCTAGGGTCTTGAGCACTGTACCACTGAGCTAAATCCCAATCTTTCTTTTTTTTTCTATTTAATAAATTCTCAAACTCTAGTATAGTTGTTTAGATCAGTTTGAAGCACTTGAGTGACGAGAAGTGAGTGAGGCCTGCCCCAGCTGTCATCAGAGCTGCGCGTGCTAACATGGTCTGTTTCAATCCTAGGGCTTTCGAATCTGAAATTCGATTTTACTCTGGAAATGACCCCCTGGATGTTTGGGACAGGTGAGTACTGTGTATGGAGGGAACACCAGACACATTCACAGACAAATCTTCTGGGCCTTGTTTCTCAAGTTGAGGGTATGGAGTGGTAAAGAGAGCAGAAAGTGGTGTCTTGGTGGCACAGACTTCCAGAATAGCCACAGTGGTTTTCTGAGGTGTTTGTTTTGCAGGGCTGTGCATAGAGCCCAGGATTTTACACATGCCAAGGAAGGGCTGTGCTACTTAGTTAAACTGTAGTTGCCCTCAGGTGTTTAAGTTGTGGTATGACACAGCTTTGAGGTGCATCTTTCTATTGTTTTCCCAGAATATCTGTTGCAAGTACTTCAAGAGTCTGAGAGACAGAGGCTTAGGATATTGTCACTGAGGACTTCTAAAGAAACATACTTTGAATATGTGAAATATTTTCTGTTGAAAAATCCAGAATAGAGGGCTAGAACAGTGGCTCATTTGTTAAGAGCCCTGGCTGCACTTCCAAAGAATTGAGTTAGATTCCCAGTTCTCCCATGGCAGCTTACAACCCTGTGTAACTCTCTGACGCCTTCTTCTGGTTTCTGATGGCACTGCACACATGTGGTACAGAGACAGGCAGACAAAACCCATATACACAAATAATAAAATAAGCAAATCCAGAATGGGTTAGGTGTGGTTGCACATGCCTTTAATCCCAGGAGGCAGAGGTAGGCAGATCTCTTTGAGTTGAGTGCAGCCTGGTCCACATAGTTGAGTACAAGCCAGCTAGGGCTACATAAGACTCTGTCTCAAAACAGCAAAAAACCCATTCAGAATAAGACTTAGAGCTAGAGCAAAAGTTTACATCAATTCAAAATGTATTCTTTTCCTTCTCCTGTTCAGGTATATTAACTGGACAGAGCAGAACTATCCTCAAGGGGGGAAGGAGAGTAACATGTCAACGTTACTAGAGCGCGCTATAGAGGCCCTACAGGGAGAGAAGCGTTATTATAGTGACCCCCGCTTTTTCAGTCTTTGGCTCAAATTGGTAAGTGTCATCTGAATTCAAATAGCAAACCAGCTTTTTCCTGTGGAGGTATTAAGAGTAAACATTTGGAAACTTCAGCAGCCATTTGAACATTATATGCATGGTGATACATTAATCTGTACACTTGAGAGGCTGAGGCTGGAGGATCACAAGTTTGATGCCATTCTGGGCTACATAGTCAGATCCTGTCTTATAAAACTAACTAAAAGCCTTGAAAAAGCAAAGCAGATGTTAAGATTGGTAAAAGATCTAAAAGTACCATCATTTTTTAGTAGCGTCTATGTTTATTGTTTACAAGACTTTGTTCATTTTTATTGTATGTGTATAAGTAATTTCCTGCATGTATGTACATTTGTCCTTGGGGAACATTGGATCCCCTTGGAACTAGAGTTACAGGTGTTTGTGAGCTCCCCTGTTGGTACTGGAAACTGAACCTGGGTCCTCTGCAAGAGCAAATCCACTTAACCATTGAGCCCACTCTGCAGCCCACCTTCTGTGTTCAGTGAATACCCTAAATCCAGACCTGTTAGTATAGGCCTGCAATCCAACTACTTGGGAGGCTGAGGCAGGAGGATCACAGAGCGAAGGCCTGCCTGGACAATGTAATGTATTCAAGGCCAGCCCCGGGAAATCTCTCAAAATACAGTAAGTAAGAGAGGAATGGGGATTCCCTTAATAGGGCGGCACTTTCCTAGTGGTGCACAGTGCCAGGTTCAAATCCCAGTAGCAGTGAAAGATAGCAGTTCACGCTATGTTATGTTTAAACACACATAACACACACACTTGTACACACACATGCACACAAGCTCCTATACACACACACACACACACACACACACACACACACACACAGTACACACATGCACACACCTGCCTCTGCCTCCCAAGTGCTGGAATTAAAGGAATTAAAGGTGTGTGCTACCTTTTGTCTTTTTATTTATGTAGTGTCTTAAATGTTCTTATTCAATGTTCTTATTCAACACTGAGTAGTTTGACCTTTACTGGCTATGCCATATGCGAGAGGATAGGTCTCTCAGAAAGCTGCATATATTAAATTGTTGTTAAGCTTTATTTGTGCGTTGGCAGAACCACAAATGGATCTTAAACTGACATCACACTCAAAGTGAGTTTTCCTAAAGCACCATCATGAGAAAACATCACTAATTTAAAGAAACCATTGTTTACTGAATTAAGTTATGCAAACTTAAACTATGAAACAATTGTTTTTGTTAAAAGTGTAAATGGAAGCTGGACAGAATACTGCAAGTCTGTAATTACACTACTCAAAAGTTGGAAGCAATAGGATTCTTAAAATTTTGAGGCTAGCTTGGTCTAATAGGGCGTTCCAAGCCAGCTAGAGATACATGGCCCAACCCTAACTTCAAAACCCAAAATAAACTAAATTTTAGATGGAATGTTTGATTTACTCTACATTTATCAAATAAAAAATTTTAAGTGGAGTATTTGATATATTCCAGACTAGTCTCATAAAACCCTGGCTAGAGATGAGGATGTTTGTAGGTAACAATGCTTGCCACCTTTGTGAAACCTGTTTTATTATAGAAGCTAAGTTTGATGAGTTGAGTGTACATGTAGCAAAGTCATCAGAAAAGGCCGCATATGTTAAATTGTCACAGGGAAGGAGAGGAAGACATAGAAGGACCTGAATCTGGTATTGCAGATTAGGAACAGATAAAACATTCCAGCAAAGTTTGTGACTTACTCAGTTTTAGCATTTTAAATTATATATTCCTCTTAGAAAGCAACTGATTATTTTTAGCATAATTTGACCTCTAGGGGATTATTTCTTTGTTTCCTGTGTGTTAATGTGTATTTTTACAAAAATGAGCCATCTCCGCAGCCTGCTGCAGTTATTTTTAAATGGATGCATAGTGTTGCATCTAGTTGACATTCTCTAATTTGTTAACCAATTTTTCTGTATTTAAGCAACTTCTACTTTTGTTCAGTTATAAATACAATTTTAAAAATCTCTTCATGCATTTTACATTTGTCCCTTAAACTCCTAGAGGGACTAGAAAGGTGGCTTGGTTTGTAGAGTGCTTGCTGTACAAGCAGAAGGACCCGAGTCCTGATCCCAGCACCCATGTAAAGCATCCTGGAGCCTGGTGGCTCCAGGTTGAGGGAGAGACTGTGACAAAAGATAAGATAGTTATGGAGGCAGACGCCTGTCTCTGACCCCCATGTGTGCCTATACACAGAACACATACAGCTATATATGTGCTGTACATCAGAAAACATACAGCACCAGGAAGAGGGAGAGAGAGACTGACACAGATACAGGTGTGGGCACAGTCTCACTCATAGCCCAGGCTGGCCTGCACTCAACTATTTAGACTACGATGGCCTTGAATCCTAGCAATCCTGCTGTTTTTTCCCTCTCAAGTACTAGCATTCACTGAGCAGTCATGGAAGCATGGGATGTGAAGCATGTTGTAATGGCTCTGGCTACGTGGCTGTCAGGCTTGCGTAGTCCGTGGATGTACCTCTCTACTCATACTTTTAACTGCGCCCCTAATCTGTCAGCACAGAGAACCTGGTTGCCAACTGCCTGAGGTGCTGCTGCCTTGTTCCCAGTTGTCAGTATTCTTTGGGTATTTTCCCCATAGAAGGGTCCTGACTCACCCCAGGTCATGTCCCTTTCCTGGGGCCTGTATCCTTGAGCTGCTTTGGGTGGAGATGGAAAGGCCAGGCCTTAACTAGCAAAACCCCTTTAGGTCATCCTAGCCCTTGAGCTCTCCCCATGGGTTGTACTTCCTGTCCTCCTGTCCCCTTCTTAGGTGTTGATCCCTAAACAGTCCTCCTACTTTCCTACACTGTGTGCTTTCAACAAGACTGACTCACAGCAGTTTGCTGTGATGCTCTGATGGTGCAGGCTTAACTCTGATGATCTGGATTCTTTTCTAGTAGTTTAGTGGTGTCACTGACTGTACTGTAATATCAGTCACAATAATACAAACTGTGGAGGTTTACTATTTATTCGGAATGGGAATTAACTACCTATTCTTTTTTTTTTTAAATTTTAGAAGCACTCTTATTTACATATCCATTCCCCCATTCCCTTGTCCTCCCATCCGCCCATGCTCCCGACCAACTCCCCAGCCCACCCCTCCCCCTCCCCAGGGATAGTGAGGCCCTCCATGGGGAACCGTCAAAAACTACCTATTCTAACTATTGATTTTATGTGTTAAATGAGATTGAATTACTGCTTAACAAAAATTTGAGGCCAGATGTGGTGGTTCTGTTGGTAATGCTAGCACTTGAGAGGCAGAAGCAAGGGGATTACCAAATAATGTTCAAGGATATCCTAGTCCAAATGATGAGTTCTAGGCCAGCCTGGGCTATGAGTGAGACCTTGTCCCCAAAAGTTAATTAATTAATTAATACTATATATATGTGTGTATATATATAGTATATATAATACAGTGAAATACATTTTTCTTATGGCCCAGGAAATGTAGAAATATGTTAAAACAATCTTCAGTATGGAATTTTTATTTTTCCTCTTTTGCTGTTAAAATTTTCTTCACTATACCTGATTACATAGTTCCTTAAATACAGCCTTGAGCAAATCTTGCCTTTGCTTTTAACTCTCTCAGCACAGAATATATTTACCATCAGGGAGAAGCAAATCAATTGGATTTGCATTTAACACCTGTCACAGCTTTACTCCAGATTCCCCATCTTGCCCTGCCCTGGTAGAGTCTGTTTTTGTCTTCACTTATGCCAGACATAAAGGGAATACCATATGCTTCCATTCTATATCTGCTGAAAGTCCAGTTCCCTTTCCCATCGGTTAACTGTCACCTGTGTGAAGCATTTGCTTCCTTTCCCTTTTTCTTGCAAACTGATCTCTTACTCTAGTCCCTTTCTTGGGTCTTTATTCCAGTATTTTTTTATTTTATTTTATTTATTTATTATGTATGCAACATTCTGCTTCCATGCATATCTGCACACCAGAAGAGGGCACCAGATCTCATAACGGATGGTTGTGAGCCATCATGTGGTTGCTGGGAATTGAACTCAGGTCCTCTGGAAGAGCAGCCAGTGCTCTTAACCTCTGAGCCATCTCTCCAGCCCTATTCCAGTATATTTTAATACTGGGATAATTATGGTATAAAAATAATATAATTAAATTATAAGGTAAGGTACATATTCCTCAGTGCAGGAGTTGTGCATGTAGTTTCCCTAGTGGTTATTTGGCACACAACAGGCATTGACAAGTGAAGGAAACTGACCGACTGTTATCACTCTTACTATGTTACAGGGGCATCTGTGCAATGAGCCCTTGGATTTGTACAGCTATTTACACAGCCAGGGGATTGGCGTCTCCCTTGCCCAGTTCTACATTTCATGGGCTGAAGAATATGAAGCCAGAGAAAACTTCAAGAGAGCAGATGCAGTGTTCCAGGAAGGGATTGAACGCAAGGCGGAGCCCCTTGAAAGACTGCAGTCCCAGCATAGGTAGTGGGCTTCCCCTGGAGCCTGTCATAACCCTTATTGTTGTCTTAGGCAACTGAATTCCAGAAGTCACAAATTCTTTCTCATCTAATGGCAATGGTTGTTCCAATGTTAGTTCAGCCTTAAGCCCTTTATGGTGCTGTCTCCTGCATGTACTGCTGGGCCAATGTGAGACCAGTGGATGGGGTCATAGTTCATTCTGTGTCCATAGCTAAGGAGTGAGCTCAGGGGAGTTGGGAGTTCCCAATCTTCAGTGTGTTCCTCTCCAGTATTCTTCTAATAGTTTTTGGCCCTCAGAATCCCCTGTTCCCGTTCCTTTGGACAGAAAGATAGGGTTTCTCAAGGAGTTGTAGGCTTCCCAAATTACTGTACCAGGAGGTCAAAGCACAGGAGAAAACAGAAGAAACAAAACAGAAAACAGCCCAGTGCAGGGTGTCTAAGCTCCACGCCTCCTCTGGTCCTTGCTTTTGTTAACCCTCCAGAGTCATGGGTTTGGTTTCTGTTTTTATGTTTTAGAGTTTTAAATTGAAACGGTGGAAAGAGAGGCTGCAGTGCTTGTGCTGTGTCCTAGTGAGCACCTACAATCTATTTGCTTTTTTGTTCTTCCAATATACTTTAAGATTGTAGCAGTAACCGTAGAGTTTTGTTTTTGAATTTCTGCCAGCTGTACTAAAGTAAGATGTCATGCTGTATGTAAACATGTGTAAGAAAAAAGTGTGTATGTGGGTAGATGCGTCAGGATATTATTGGTGGGTCTAGGTGAAGGGCATTTGGGTATTCATTCACTCTTTACACAATTCTGCAATTTTTATTTTTAATTTTATAATACAAGTTGCTGAGAAACTGTGAATTTTATCAATTTTCTAGTCTTAGCTGATGCTCAGGTCTACCTGATGAGGATTTTTAGAAATTTTCAACGGGTCAAACTGGAACATTTTAACGGACCCTGAGTCATCCTAGCCTGGATACCCTTATGTCTTGAGTTGCTGTCCCTATTCCTAGAGAACAAATTTCCTGGGGACAATTGTGTTCTGTTTTCTCTAGTCTGTTTTTGTTGTGTGAGAACTGGTCACTTCAGTTAAAAGCCGATCATCCTTTGTCATGTTTCAGACAATTCCAGGCTCGAGTATCTCGACAAGCTCTCTTGGCACTTGAGAATGAAGAGGAGGAGGAGGTCTTGGGGTCTTCTGTACCACAGAGAAGCACACTAGCTGAGCTGAAGAGCAGAGGGAAAAAGATGGCCAAAGTACCCATCAGCCGTGTCGGAGGTGCCCTGAAGGGTGAGCTTGCTGTGTTATTTTGGAGCGCCCGTACTCTCTTGTGGTGGGCATATTATGTAAGAAGGCAATACCTAAGTATATATGTGGACACTGCCCTAGTTTTCTGAATACTAGGTAGCAAAAAGAAAAGCCAAAAGAAATCTAATGTCACAGAATGCAGGAAAGCCAAAGGTGGCAATTTTGTGTTGTAACTGAGTAAACCTGATATTTGAGATGTGTCATTTTCTAAGCGTTGTTTTTGAAAGAAGGTATGTAGTAATATAGTAGATATTATTGAAATAAAGCTTAAATGCATTAAAGCCTACAGAATATTATCAATGTAGTTAAGAATATCATTGTTGCTGGGCAGTGGCAGTGCATTGCCTTTAATCCCAGCACTTGGGAGGCACTAGGATCTCTTGAGTTCGAGGCCAGCCTGGTCGATAGAGGGAGTTTCAGGGCAGCTGCAGCTGCCCGAGCTACACAGAGAAACCCTGTATTAAAACAAAACAAAAACTAACCAACTAAACAAACAAAAATATTAGGCAGTGTTACAACGATGACTGAAAGAAGTTATAGGACTTCTTTTTTTTTTTTTTTTTTTAAGTTATGAATGGGTGTGGGCCCTGTGCAGTGGTGGACTTTTTTAATATAGTGCTTGGGAGACAGAGACAAGCAGATCTGAGTGTGAGACCAGCTTAGTCTACATAGTGAGTTCCAAGCCACCCAGGGCTTAAAGTGAGACCCTGTCTCAAAAATTAAACCAGAAGTGGGGACTGGAGAAAGGCTCAGGGGTTCAGAGCACTTGCTGTTCTTCCTGAGGACCTGCGTTCTGTTCACAGCCCTCATGTCAGGCAGATCACAGCCATATGGAAGTCTAGCGACAGGGGACCCAGTGCCTCTGCCTCCATAAACACTGCACTTGCATGAACACACCCACATGCACACACACACACACACACACACACACCTGCACATAATTAAAAATGGTAAAAATAAAAGACTGGAAGTGTTAGGACAAAGGGGAAAGGAAAGAGAAAATAAAATATATAAAAATGTTACTAGCTGGATCATTGATAATTTACTTCTACCTTTTATGAAGATTTATTTTATTCTTTTTTTTTTTTTTTTTTCTTCTCTTCTTCGAGACAGGGTTTCCCTGTGGCTTTGGAGGCTGTCCTGGAACTACTCTTGTAGACTAGGCTGGTCTCGAACTCACAGAGTTCCACCTGCCTCTGCCTCCCCGAGTGCTGGGATTAAAGGCGTGCGCCACCAACGCCCGGCTATTTTATTCTTAATTATATTAGTATGTTTGTGGGCCTGTATGCAGGCATGTGCGTGTGAGTACAGGTACCGGTGGAGACCAGGGAAGGGCTTCTAGAGTTGCAGTTACTATGAGCCACCCCATCTGGGTGCTAGGAACTCAGCTCTGGTCCCCTGTAAGAACAGTATATGCTCTTAACTGCTGAACCATCTCTTTACCCCAATTTAAGGTTTTGAAAGGAAAAAAATCTCTTAAATCTCATTTTGACTCTGTGGTAGAGGAAGTATCCTCCTTAATTTGGAGCAGACTGTGCATATCTTATATCCATATAAGTTGATAATGGCATATTCATATATGTCTTCAAGCTCCGGGTCAGAGCAGAGGACTCCAGAATGCAGCTCCTCAGCAGATGTGCAGTAACCGCAGGATCACGATTTTTGATGAAAATGCTGATAGCACTTCTAGGGCAGAGTTACCCAAGCCTGTAGTCCAGCCATGGATGGCACCCCCTGTCCCTAGGGACAAAGAGAATGAGCTACAACCAGGCCCGTGGAACACAGACAGACCCTTGGAATATAGGGTAAGGTCTCACAGTATTTGCCAATCTAAAGAAGATTTCAGATTGGTCTGTCTTGGCTTCTTGTTGTTTGCTTTGTTTCTTTGTTTGGTTGGTTTTTTTGAGATGGGCTCTGTTTATTTAGCTTAGGCTTACCTTGAACTTGCTATGTATTCCAGGCTGGACTTGAACTTCCCATGCTCCTGCCTCAGCTTTCCATGTGCTAGCATTGTAGTCACACACCATCCTGCCTGGCTCTATTTTAACATATCTTAACTCCTTCACTATTTAGAGATTGTCTGCCTCAGTTGTGACAGGGTGTAAAATAATCATTCTACTCTTTCTTCATTTTTAGCCTCATGGCAGCAATTCAGCCTCTGTATCAGCTGTGCCCCCTTCGCTTCCCAGCTTTACTCCTTATGTGGAAGAGAGCGCTCAACAGTCAGTCATGTGAGTGGCTTCCAGATCATTCGCAGTGGGAATTACTAAGGCTGGCTAAGGTTCCTGATATACAGTCCCAGTGGCATCTTCTGGCGGGAGGGAAAACCGACAAAGCTCTGTGTCCTTTGTATTCACTGTATATGCTAGAGCCGAACAACTGTAATGAGCTTAATAATTAGGTTATGGTAATATTGATGTAACAGACACGCCACCGCCATCCAAGTGAGACATGCTGTTTAATTACTGATAATAATTAGAAAGGGGTCTCTTTTTTCCTTCCTAATCCTTAACACTTTAAAAAATGTTTTTTGTTTTTTAGATTTAAATGTTTTTTAGTGTGTATGAATGTTTTGCCTGCATGTATGTATGTGTTCCACATGCATGCCTGGAGTTCACAGAGGTCAGAAGAGAGGGCATTGGATCCTCTGGGACTGCAGTTATAGGCAGTTGTGAGCTACCATGTGGGTGCTGGGTCCTCTGGAAGAAAAGTGCTCTTAACTGCTGAACCAACTTCAGGCCCCCAAAATTTTTGTTATCAGAAAAACTAGGGCAAAAGACAGATACCCAGCTCAAGCTTTAGTCTAGCCTTTAAAGACTGGGAGTTCTAATACACTGTGTTGCAGTGTAAGAGTTTCCTTGTAGCTAATATGTCTATTTATTCTATTTGCTTTTTTCTGGAAGACAGTCTCTGTGTAGACCATGTTAGCCCTGAACTCGAGATCCACCCGTCTCTGCCTTCCGAGTGCTGAGATTAAAGGCCCACAATACCACGCCTGAATCTCATGACTAATTTATCACTCACACTATATGATAGCATAGGAAGGCAAAACCAGTGCGGTTCTGAGCAAAAATTCTTTCTGAACCAAACATGAAACAAGGGAAGCCATTGAAACCTTTATAGAATTGTTATTGAGCTTTATGCCAATTCTACTTTTTAAATTAAATTTAAATTTTTATTTTATTTATTTTTATTTTTTTTTAAGATAACTCTTACTGTTTACCATGGCTGTCCTGAAACTTGCTCGGTAGACCAGGCTGCCCTTGAACTCACAGAGATCCTCCTGCCTCTGCCTCCTGAGTGCTAAGATTCTAGGCATACACTCTGGCTCCTTTTTAAAAATTTATATTTGACTTGTGTGTGTGTGTGTGTGTGTGTGTGTGTGTGTGTGTGTGTGTGTGTGTGTGAGTGCTTGTGTTGGGGTGTGTGGAGAGAGAGAGGGAGAGAGAGAGAGAGAGAGAGAGAGAGAGAGTTGTCAGAGGACAACTCAAATGCTGGGCTTATACTCATGCCCAGTCAGGTAGTTTTTCTTAATGATTTATGTATCTCTTTATAAGTTAAGAGGATCATTCTTTGATGGAATTTCTTTAACCTAACTGTGTTAATCAACTTTCTGTCATTGTCACAAGCACCCGAGACAACCAGCATGTACAAAGAAAAGGTTTATTTTGGCTCAAGTTTTGGCATATGGTCTTTTGAACTTGATGGCCCGAGCTGCTACTAATTTTCTTCAAAGCATAGGTGGTCCTGAGAACTCACACTTCCCACCCAGGCTCTGCCTTGATCATTGTAGGCAGTGCTCTCACTGGGCTCTAGAACATCATTACTGTCTATTCTTGTGGGTTATTTTTAGCCCCATCTTAAAATCTTAACTTTTGTTTTTGTTTTAGAAATAAATCACATATAGACCCAAAGCTGGCATTGTCCATCTGTTCAGGCAAAATTCATAAGAAATAACTCATTTTGACTTTGGAGTGAATGATAATTTTTTTGCTTCCTTAGGACACCGTGTAAAATTGAACCTAGTATCAACCACATTCTCAGCACCAGGAAGCCTGGGAAGGAAGAAGGAGACCCCCTGCAGAGGGTGCAGAGTCACCAGCAAGGTTCCGAGGAGAGGAAGGAAAAGATGATGTACTGTAAGGAAAAGATTTATGCTGGAGTCGGGGAGTTCTCCTTCGAGGAGATCAGAGCTGAAGTGTTCCGGAAGAAGCTGAAAGAGCAAAGGGAAGGTGTGTGCGTTGTTCTAAGAAATAACTCTTTCTGGTCTAAGAGAGATTGCATCTCCATTACTTGTACCCGTGTGTGATGTTTCTATGGCTGGACAGTACTCTGTGTGTGCATGTATATACTGTACATATGCTGAACTCCTAGTGCTGCCTCCCAGAAAACCTCTTGATGGAGAAAACAGTCTGCTCAAGAGTAAAAGAAGAAAAGGTGGTCACCCTGCAGGGGCACCCCATTTCACAACAGAAGCAGGCAGCCGGACCCTGGTGTGCATATAGATAGGTACACCTCCCTTAAGTACCGTCCTAGATGTTGCCTGAAATATGAGGCCTCAATTTCTCTCACCGTTTATTTGTATTAACATATCTTAACATATATTAACTCATATCTCAGTCACTTAGAATAGTTATTTGTATTATCACTCTGACAGTAAGGGAAGATCTGAAAACTGAGGGGAACAGAAAGTAGTTCCTGTTCTGGAGCTGTCTGTTCTGGGTTAGGAGGGACAGAAGGAACTGACACACAAATAGGAAAGTGAATATTGGAGCCTTTAGGGCATTAATTAGACTTTAGGGATAAAGTAAATTTCAAATGACATATTGAAAAATGGGCTCTATGTGCCAATGTGGGAGCCATCGTTGCAAAAGCAAAGGGCCAGCTGAGTGAGGCCTTTTGGTTTTTGGTTTTTGTTGTTGTTGTTTTTCAGACAGGGTCTCATCTCACTGTGTAGACCAGGCTGGCTCAGCCTCCCAGGTGGTGAGATTAAAGGTGTGTGCCACTACACTAGACTGAGTGTGGCCTTTTTGAAATCAGGAACTGAAGGCCTAGAGGGATGGCTCAGCAGTTAAGGGCATTAGCTGCTCTTACAGAGGACCTAGGTTCTCTACCAAGCATACACATCATAGCTCACTGCCATCTTAACTCTAGTGTCTGGGGATCTGATGCCCTCTTCTGGCCTTTGACACCAGGTACACAAGTAGACAGGCATATTCAGGCAAAATACCCTTACACATAAAGTGTTAAAAAAATAAAATAAAAACAGGAACTGGAGGTCGGTACATGGTTACTGGATAAAGGAACTTGCTGCACAAGCCTGGTGATCTGGGTTTGACCCTTAGGACCTGTATAAAGCTGGAAAGAGGGAACTGACTCCATAGAGTTGTCTCCTGTGGCAGGCACATCACACACCTTACACACACAGTAATAATCCAAAGGTTTTAAAATAGGAACTGAGCTGGAAGGCGAAGCTCGGCGCTAAGAATACTTGTCTTGCACGTGAAGACCTGGGGTCAGTCAGCCCGTGGTGCAGAAGACACTGCCAAAATCCCCAAAGAGCCTGTCAACAAAGATTAAATGAGGAGGAGGAGGTCCCTAATTAAAAATATTTTTCTAAGGAAAATTTCTAGTTCATACCTCCTATACAAAAGTGTGATGGAATGTACACTTTATTCTCAGCCAAAGAAATCTCCATGCTGAGGTTTGGTGAGGTTTGTGTAGATAAAATGCCTTCTCTCACATGCTGACAATTTTAGAGGGTTAGTCTATGGTTATTATGGCGGGAAGCATCACTGCACACAGGCAGACATGGTGCTGGAGAAGGTGCGAGAGTTCTTCACCCTGATCCACAGGCAGCAGGATGAGACATTGGGCCTGGCTTAGGCTTTTGAAACCCCAAAGCCTTACCCCCAATGACTCACTTCTCCAAGGAGGTCACAACTCATCCAACAAGGATTCCTAATCCTTCTTAAGTAGTGTCAGTCCTAGCACACATCTGTGTGTGTATTCACATTTGCACATTTGTGTGGAGACACGAGGTTGACACTGGGCTTTTTTCACAATCACTTCCCATCTCCTCATTGAGGTAGAGTCTTGATAAAAGCCAGAGCTCACTTATATACTGGTCTGGCCAGTTTGCTCCCAGAGCTCCCCTCTTCCCACCTTCCACGTATTGGGATTCCAAGTAGGCCAGCCTACTCACCCAGCATTTACTTGGATGCTAGGAATCTAAACTCCAGACCTTGCGCTTGCATGGCAGACACTCTAACACTGAGCCATCTTCCCAACCCTAGACTTGAAAGTGTAGTCAGTCTTCTTCATTGCCCAGTGTTCTCTTAGGCATTCCTTTTATTCTTGTCAAACAGTTGTGGTCATCAGAAGCCCATTTGCCAAACCCAGTGCCTGTTTTTTTCACTGCACCACTCAACTGCCTCTCCAACCCCATCTTTCATAGCTCTCCTTCATTGCTACAAGCACGCTGGCTTTCCTCGGGGTCTTCAGTACAGTGGTCTTCCTGTGTTAACAAACTTTCCCCAGATCTTTGTTGGACTGATTCCTCATCATTCAGGTTTCAGCTTTATCGCAACACTTTATCAAAATGAGTACTGGTCACTGGTCTTCAGTAGCCATGACCTTCATACCTTCGTCCACTATACATAGTTTTACACCCCTATTTGGTGCTGTACTGAGTATTGAGCTTACACTATAAGTTGAGCGCTCTTATCAGTGGGCTCTAGCCTTAGTCCCATGTGTTGCACCCCCCCACCCCCCAATTTATTTTGGAGGTTTCTGGGTGTTTGCTTGCTTATTTGTTTGAGAAATAGTCTCGTGTAACTTAGGCTGTGTATTTGAAGATGACACTGACTTTTGGTGCTTCCTACCTCTACTTCCTAAGTACTGCAGTCCTAGGGTTTCAGGGTAGGCAAGCACTCTACCAACTAAGCTACATTCCCTATCCTGTTTTATGTATGGATACTTTGGGTGCTTTTGAGAAAGTCTTGCTTTGTAGCCCAAGCTAGCTTAGACCTCTAAATGATTTTCTTATTTCTTGTTTCTGCCGTATTTGGATGTTAGCATCATATGGCCAAGGATTTGTATCATTGGAACCTGTTTTTACTACTTGTGTATGATAGGTATTGCTTTTTTTCCTGATCACATCCATAAAAGAATGGAGACCCAGGCCTCAAATTGAGGACTCATTCCCACTTTGTCATTTGCATCAGTGTTAACATGAGGCCATGAGCCACAGGCAGTCTTTATGTTAGCGTGAGAGTATGAATTGGAGTCAGTCTTTCCAGGAGGAGTTGTTGTGAGGCGGGGAATGCCCCAACTTACTTCACTGTTTACAGCCGAACTGCTGACCAGTGCGAAAAAGAGGGAAGAAATGCAGAAACAGATTGAGGAGATGGAGAGAAAGCTAAAGGAAATCCAGACTATTCAGCAAGAGAGAGCTGGTGACCAGGTAAAAAATTTTCTACTATTTAGCACAGTAAACTCAGGCATGTCTGGCAAGAGTTCTACCTTTGATCTGCATGCCCAACCTAAAGAGACTTTTTATGATAGTTTTTTAGTTACTACTAACAGGAAAGTAATTTAACAAGTGATTTCAAATGGGATTTACAACATGTGAAATAAGTGATGTAATTCACTGACTTCTAGATTATATTCTTATTAATTCTGATGTTAACTTTCTATTTTAATCATGGTCTGTTAAAATGGGGTTAATTTTTAAAATTCACTATATACTTGCCACTGCTCAGTTGAGTACAACAGAAACAATTTGACTAGGAACCTAGATTATTGGAGAGACCTTTTGTGGTAGTGACAGCTGATTTTCTGTATGGAGGACATTGGTTTTCTTTATGTTAATGTAAGCAGCAAGAAGACAAGGGGCCTACAGAGGAGACAGCCAGACTGCAGATTGCTTCAGAGTCTAAGGAAATGCTGGCAACATCTCTGTCCCATTCTGTCTGTCCACTAAGCTCAAATCCCAGGTAAGACCACTTTGGTGGAAGGCATGCTGCTCACAGATCACAGAACAAACTTCTGACTCTGGTGACTTGAAGTCTCCTTAATTTTTTGACAGTACTGAGTCACGAGTTTTACAAATTTTAATATAAAGTTTCGTGCCAGTGAGGGAATATATGATACTGTCTTTAACTTGATAAAAATAAAAATAACCAAATATCTTGTAGTAACACTAACTAAACAAGTAAAAGACCTGTTTAACAAGAACTTTGAGTCTTTAAAGAAAGAAATTAAAGAAGATAACTGAAAATGAAAAGATCTCCCATGCTCTTGGATAGGTAGGATCAACATAGTAAAAATGGCAATCTTGCCAAAAGCAATCTACAGATTCAATGCAATCCCCATCAAAATCCCAACACAGTTCTTCACAGACCTGGAAAGAACAATACTCAACTTTATATGGAAAAACAAAAAACCCAGGTTATCCAAAACAACACTGTACAATAAAGGAACTTCTGGAGGCATCACCATCCCTGACTTCAAGCTCTTATTACAGAGCTATAGTCCTGAAAACAGCTTGGTATTGGCACAAAAAGGTAAGCCAATGGAATCGAATTGAAAACTCTGATATGGACCCACACCCTACAAATACCCGATTTTTGACAAAGAAGCTAAAGTTATACAATCGAAAAAAGAAAGCATCTTCAACAAATAGTGCTGGCATAACTGGATGCTGACATGTAGAAGATTGCAGATAGATCTGTATCTATCACCATGCACAAAACAAGTTCAAATGGATCAACCCCTCAACAAATCTAGCCACACTGAACCTCTTAGAAAGTGGGAGGTACCCTTGAACGAATTGGTACAGGAGACTGCTTCCTGAACATAACACCATTAGCATAGACACTGAGATCGACAATTAATAAATTGGACCTCCTGAAGCTGAGAAGCTTCTGTAAGGCAAAAGACACAGTCAACAAGACAAAATGGCAGCCCATAGAATAGGGAAAGATCTTCACCAACCCTGCATCTGTCAGAGGGCTGATCTCCAAAATATACAAAGAACTCAAGAAGCTAGTCTCCAAAACACCAAACAATCCAATTAAAAAGTGGGGTACAGAACTAAATAGAGAATTCTCAATAGAGGAATCTAAAATGGCTAAAAGACACTTAAGAAAGTGCTTCAACATCCCTAGCCATCAGGCAAATGCAAATCAAAACAACTCTGAGATACCATCATACTCCTGTCAGAATGGCCAAAATCAAAAACACCAATGACAGTTTGTGCTGGAGAGGATGGGGAGAAAGGGAACATTCCTCTACTGCTGGTGGGAGTGCCAACTTGTACAGCCACTTTGGAAATCAGTATGGTGGTTCCTTAGGAAAATGGGAATCAGTCTACCTCAAGATCCAGCAATTCTGCTCTTGGGCATATACCCAAAGAATGCACATTCATACAACAAGGACATATGTTCATAGCAGCATTGTTTGTAACAGCCAGAACCTTGAAGCAACCTAGCTGCCCCTCACCTGAAGAATGGAGAGAGAAATTTGGTACATTTACACAATGGAGTACTACTCAGCGGAAATAAAAAAAACAATGAAATCTTGAAATTTGCAGGCAAATGGAGGGAACTGGAAGAAACCATCCTGAGTGAGGTAATCCAGTCACAGAAAGACAAGCATGGTATGTGCTTACTTTTATTTGGATATTAGACATAGAGCAAAGGATTACCAGCTTACAATCAACACCACCAGAGAAACTAGGAAACAAGGAGGACCCTAAGAGAGAAATACATGGTCCCCTGGAAAAAGAGAAGGGGAGAAGAGAAATGGGGAAGAGAAGAAGACTGAGACAGGGGCGGAATAGAGGAAAGCAACAAAAGAGATACCTTAGCAGAGGGAGCAGTATAGGTTTAAAGAGAAATCTAGCACTGTGGAAATGTTCAGACAAGGATGGCCCCAACTAAGAATCTAGGCAGTAGTGGAGAGGCTGCCTTTGGTACCCTTCCCCTATAATGAGATTGATGACTATCTTGGTTACCATTCCTAGAGCCTTCATCCAGTAGCTGATCAAAGCAGAAGCAGTCAACCACAGCTAAGCATTGAGCCATACTCCTGGAATCCAGTTGTAGAGAGGGATGAGCAAAGGAGCCAAGACTGCACCTGTGCTCCCAATTTGCTCAGGGGTTCTTGTCCTGAAAGAAAAGTAAATAAAAATAAATATTTCTAGAGCTTGGTACATGTACAATGACACCTAGCATTTAGGAGATAAAGGCAAGAGGGATCAGGAATTCAGCCTTTGAGACTGGCCTGGGATACATGAGGCCCTGTTGTCATCCTGCCCATACACACAAAATAAAAATGGTAGTACTCGGGTGGCTAAGGCATTAAATCATCAATGCCAGTCTAGCCTACACGGTAAGACCTTTGAAGTTCATTACATATGTGTATGGAATGTCCTTATGTAACCCAGTGCTGTGTACAATGAACATATACTAATTAAAATCAAAACTCAAAAAATTATCACACAAGATAACTGCTATTCACACTAATATGTGTCTTCTTTGGTACTGATATTTTTGTTTTATAAAATTGATGGCTTACCATTTTGTAATCTGCTTTAATGGTTCTTGTGTTAATCAAAATTATTTAGAGAATTTTCAGTGTTTGGATTAATAGTGGTAGGACTATGAGTGAGTATGGGGCAGATGCTTGTAATCCCAGCTCTTGGGAGGGAGGTATCGGCTCAGGACCACCCCCCACTGCAGTTAGTTAAGGCTGGCCTGGACAGTGTGGCGTCTCTCTCTGAAACAGAAGGACCTTCCTGTGGGTGTTGAGCACACTTTATATTTTTTTAAAACAAATTTCTTCACAGGGAAACTTTACCAGCCATAAACATTTTGCAAGAACAGCCTGACTCTAAAGGTAAGTTGCATTTGATAGCATTGGGAGGAATACCAACAACAAATGCACTATGTAACAGTAAATGCTCGTCTTAATTGTAGTAAAATGAGTAGAAGAGGACAGAGTGGGCATAGAGTTTTATTTTGTCTTTAAATAATGGAACTCACTATAAACACCTATAATTCATTATATGTGATTTGAGAGAATATTTTCATAAGATTTCTCACTACTTTGAAATACTTAGTTTAGGGACAGCAGGATGACAGGTAAAGGTGCTTGCTGTCCAACAACCTGAGTTTGACCCTCAGAACCCACTGACCTTCATGTAGCAGGTCTTTGGACACAGAGACGCTTTATGAATTTTGAAAGCTTGGCATTAGCTTAGGCTTTTTCCAAACTAGCTCTTAAAACTGAAATTAACCTGTTTATATTAGCCTATGTCTGCCACATGGCTCATTACTTCTCTTCTGTACCATATGTCTGACTCCTCTTGCTTCTGGCTGGTGAATATCCCGTCTCAGGTTCTTTTCCAGAGTTCCTATCTGTCTGGAAGTCCTGCCTGTCCTCTCCTTCCTAGCTATTGGCCATTCAGCTCTTTATTAAACCAATCTGAAGGTGCCTTAGGGGTTTTTTTGTTGTTGTTGGTTTTTTCTGTTTGTTTTTGTTTTTTCGAGACAGGGTTTCTCTGTGTAGCTTCAGAGCCTATCCTGGCACTCGTTCTGGAGACCAGGCTGGCCTCGAACTCACAGAGATCCACCTGCCTCTGCCTCCCAAGTGCTGGGATTAAAGGCTTGTGCCACCAACACTCCGGCTGGCTTTTTTTTTTTAACACATTAATTTTTTAATATGCATTGGTCATTGCCTGCATGTATGAGAATGGAGTTACAGAGCTATGTGAGTTACCATGTGGGTGCTAGGAATTGAACCCAGCTCAGCCAGGCTCCTTTGGAAGTACAGCCGATGCTCTTAACCACTGAGCCATCTCCTCTCTCCTCAGCTGCAGATTGGTTTCCTTTTCTTTTCTTTTCCTTTTCTCTTCTTCTTCTTCTTCTTCTTCTTCTTCTTCTTCTTCTTCTTCTTCTTCTTCTTCTTCTTCTTCTTCTTCTTCTTTTTTCTTGAGACAGGGTTTTTCTGTATTGCTTTGGAGGTTGTCCTGGAACTTGTTCTGTAGACCAGGCTGGCCTCAAACTCAGAGATTCACCTGCCTCTACCTCCCGAGTGCTGGGATTAAAGGCATGCACCACCAACGCCTGGCTCAAATTGGTTTCTTTTCTAAGAATATGTTAAAAATATTTGGCTTCCTATCTGTTTAGCTGAGTTGAAAAAGATTACACATTTTCTCTCTCAGTTTCTTTTTGCATCAATGATTATTGTTGTATAAAAGCTATCAGAGGAAAAAAAATATAAGCTATGAAAAATGTAAGTATAAAGAGACCTCAGAGCCAGTAAAGGCAATTGCCACCAAGCCTGGTGACTTGAGTTCAATACCAAGATCCACATGGTGGAAGGAGTGAACTGACTTCCACAAGTTTTTCTCTAATTTCCACATGCTTGCCCACACATATACACGAAAAATGTATGTATTTAACAAAAAGACTTAAAACACACTAAAATGTTTTATGTGGTAAAAACATAAATATCTACTTAGAAGTAGTTTTATAAAGCATAAATCTTGTGGGCCTCTCATAGCTAAGAGCACGAAGCAGGGAGATTCGTCTTGAACAACAGAGGGAAAATAACTGGCAAAATCCAGTATGAAATGACCAAAATTAAATGAATAAATATAAGATTTAAGGATTTTTTTTCTATTTATCTTGTGTATGTGTGTGCGCATGTGTGTGCTGGCACATAGGCAGAGATCAGGACAGCGTGCAGGAGTTGATTCCCTCTGCCAGGTTTCAGGGATCAAACTCAGGTTGTCAGCTTTCATGACTAGTGAGCGAGCGACTTTTATCTGAGCCACCTTGGCAGCTCCAGAGGAAAAGCTTTAGAGGCACTTGGATTGTTGACAATATACAGATCTCGTTATGCAGTTCCAGTTCAAACACATTTAAAACAGTGTAAATAATCACTGAAATGTAAGACTGACTAGATATTCAGAAATTATTAGTTATATAGATATTATGTCTTAAATAGTAATAATAAAAAGAACCTTCTAAAAGGCTTACAAAGACACTAAAATATTTGCAGTTATGAATTGATTATTATGAGTTATTATGAAATGATCTCACTTTTATGTGTCTTAACTTTTTCCTTATAAAAACAAATCAGGGTAGAAAGATGCCTTAGTGGTTAGGGGGTGTGTGCTTCTTACAGAGGACCCAGGTTTGGTTCCCAGCACATGTCATGTGTCTTCAGGGGGTGGGACGCTCCTATCTGTGCTCACTGAATTGCATGAACTGTACCACACCCAAGACACACACACACACACACACACACATCTACATAATTATCAATGTCTGTTTTTAAATTGTGCCTTTTCTTTCAAACAACACAGCATTAATTACTTTCTATAGTTTTCTTAAAGAATCAACACTCGCAAAACCCTTTTCTCTTTTTATAGGTCCCAGCATTCCTTTCTCGATTTTTGATGAGTTTCTTTCAGACGAAAAGGACAAAAGGTTTGGTTTTATTGTTTTTTGGAGTTTTTAGGAGTAGATCTTCCTATATATGTACATTTTTAACTTAAAATGTTAGATTCTTTAAAATTAAAATAAAATATTTTTATTCATATGGGTGTTTGCCATATGAATATTTGTGTGTATCTCTATACAAGCTGTGTGCCCAGGGTATCCAGTAAAGGGTATTAGATCAAGCAGTTGCGAGCTGCCATGTGGATACTAGCAACTGAACCCAGGTTCTCTGCAAGAGCAGTCAGTACTTTTAACTATTAAGTCATTTTTCCAGACCCTTATCTAAAATTCCTTGAAAAATTTTATAAATTTTTTGTATGAAAACTTTTATAAATTGGGTATCTATTTCTTACCATGGGTCTCTGGGATGGAACTCATGTTAGCAGGCTTGAACTACAAGTCGTTACCTACTGAGCCATGCTGTCCCCAGGATTTGAGTCTGTGAGTGAGGGTAGCTGGACACTGGTGCACACAGGACTGGGAAGAAGGAGTTGAGATAGGGAGATGAGTTCAAAGACAAACAACCAAAAAGGCACGAGTCAGGGTTGCTGCTACTTCTGCATACAGTAACACAGAGTGCTAACTGGAATATGTCTTTTTGAAGTCCTGCTGCAGATTCTCCACAGGCTCTCAAAGCCCAGCGAAGACCCCTTGCAGTTCTCAAAACTGCAGAAATCATTGCCTCAAATGAGGACATGTCTCCTGATGTTTGTGTAAGTTAACATAAGTGGGCTTAGTGAATTAGTTCACTCAAGTCTCTCAGAAGTTTAGCATTTGCCTGCTTAGCTGACTAAGCAGGTAAAGGCACTTCCTGCCAAGTCTGGGCCTGAGATTGTTCCCCACTGGGGTCCCACCACAGGGTAAAAGGAGAAAACTGACTTCCACAGGTTGTGGAAGTCCTCTGATCCCTACCCCCATCCCCACACACGCTCAAGTACAAATGAATGTATTTAAGTTTAAAACAAAAGTTTAGGGTTAAGTGCTAAGCAAGCTTCTTGTAGTCTCAATGGGCAGTGGAATTAGAGGAGAACTAGTGTCAAAGTCAACCCAGGCTGTGTGAGTTTGAGTCCAGCTTGAGTAATAGCTAGATGTTGTTCAAAAAAAAAAGTTTAGTGATAAAATTAAAATCACTAATTGGAACTAAGCCCATGAAAATATTTTCAGAATCATGTCACAGGAAAATGACAGAAGCACAGTGAGATAGTATGCTGTGTCCACTGGAGTATCTATAATCAAGTGTTGGAGGGCGAGCACACTGGAACAATCATTTTGGGAGACTTGTTGGCCATTCTTTAAAGGGTTAAATGTAGGGCAGTTAAGAGCAAGCACATGCTCAGCCAGGCGGTGGTGCTGCCCCTTTACTCCCAGCACTGGGAGGCAGAGGCAGG